CTGTTTCATACCCGCCTCATCTACACCGATGTTCTGTGACATACCCAGGTATCGGTATGTTTCAGCCTCGGAAAGGGTCCTTATGTTGATGGGCATAGATAAATCTATGCCCTCAGAGTTAGCAACCCTTCCCCTTTCAACATGGAGGACCGCACACTTATCCGTCCCCAGCTCCATTCTAATAGAATTGCTAAAATCACAAGTGATGTTTAGCAATTCCACAAGATGAGAGCGACTGGAGGCGAATAACTTGAGATCATCCATATAGAAAAGGTGGGTCACTTTTGTACCTCCCCTCCGAAGCTGAAATCCCCTCCCGGAGCCCTCCAGTAAGGTACTGAGAGGGTTCAGAGAGAGGCAGAACCAGATTGGACTCAGACAATCGCCCTGGAAGATACCCCTTCTTATCCTTATGTGGTTCTCCGCAGCCGTCATCCGCTCGCCTAGATGACAAAGGATCGTACTCCACTGCCCCATACACTGCCCAAGGAAGTCTCTAACTGTACAGTCAACCTTGTACAGCTCGAGGACCCTCTCCAGCCATGTATGAGGCACCGAGTCGAATGCCTTTTTGTAGTCTATCCAGGCGGCGGATAGGTTCCGACGGTTGCGTTTAACCACTTTGCCAATGACCGCGTCAATGAGGAGTGGTTCCTTGGTTCCACGACCACCGCCCCGACATCCATTTTGAGTGCGCGACATCACCTGATTTGAGTTCAGGTGACGAGTGATTCTCGCGCTCAAAATGGATGTTAGTGTCTTATATATCGTGGGTAGACACGTGATGGGGCGGTATTTGCTCGGGTCTATGGTATCCCGGTCTTTAGGAACCAAATGAGTGATCCCAGTAGTGAAGAGGCTCGGGAGCGACTTTTGGTCGAGAGCCTCTTGAAATTGTCGGGCGAGCACAGCGTGACACACCACGAACCCCTTCAGCCAGTAGTGATGCAGCCCGTCGAGCCCCGGACTTTTCCAGTTCGGGGCCCTTCGGACCGCCTCAGCTACATCGTCCGGCGTTATAATGATGGGGTCCATGGGCGTAAGATTCGCACACTGACTCACCACAGCTTCCGTCCAAGGGCCCTCGCGGTGGTTTACGGGCTCTGACCACAGGCCGCGCCAGAATGCGACAGTGTCGGCCTGATTCGGTGCTTGGCCCGTTCCACGTACCATTGGTCGCTCCAATGATTTATATAGCCTCTTCTGATCACTCCGGAACAGACGATTCTGGTTGAACCGTGTCGACCTCTCGGTATATCGCCGAATCCGCTTCCCCCAAGCAGCGATTCTCTGCTTCAGGTCGTCTATGCGCTCCGTCAGTTTTTGCGTTATATCCGGCTGGGACAAACTGATATTTGTCCCAGCAAACGCCATTCTGACGGTGCGCACAATTCGCGGCCTATTATTGCCCGACCTGAAGCTTATCAGCCTGCCGATGAGGGCCCTTGCCTTTACGATACGGTCCTCAATCCTTCTTCTCCAGGCTGGGATGGCGCTACTTTGTCTAGTAGCGCGTCCAGCCGTGGGAATTTTGGCGCCAACAATACGACAAACTGCCAGTGCGGCGCCAAAAAGAATTGAGTCCGTCTCGCAAAGGTCCCGGCTGGCTTCCAAATAGGTGACCAGCATTGGGTTGAGAGCCCTCACGACAGCCCGATTCCGCTTGCTTAGGGGTATGCGCGGGAGTCGCGGTCGATTTTCGAGAGGCGTACTGCGCGTTTCCACAATCGCCTCCTCCAATTTACTCCTCATCTGCTCTAGTTCTTGGGTGACTATTCCATCATCGCCTGAATCAACCAGAGCAGGGAGATCCATGGCGCCCTCTATATGTGGCTGCTGGTCTGTGGCCTGAACAGCCGCATCCCCAGCTCTAGCCGGTTCATTCGATGAGGGAATAGCCTCACGTCGTAGTCGTTCGAGTTCGGCATCATCAAATATTTTCGAGCGTATGATGTACCGAACTCGGTCTGCCAGGTTTTGCTCCGTGACGGGAACTGACGGCTCAAGCTCAGCAAAAAAGCGATGCATCCGAGCCCGATACGCTATCCCTCCAGTTTCTTCCCCTTTCGCCCTATAGTACGCCCGCAATGCGTTTATGTTCATATGTTTTGTCCAACGCATGCGGCGTACTCCACCAGCGGCGGGTGCCGCTTGCCGAGTCCGAGAGGACCCCGCCGACACCAAGCCGTCTGGTGGGGATGATGGACGCGAGGGGCTGCTAGGTGGTCGTGCAGCACCTCGCGCTCGGCTGGCGGCTCGCATGCTGTCACGTCCAGCGCCAGCTCCAGACGCGCCCCGGCGACCCCCAGGCAGCGGCCCTATGCGCGTTCTATAATTTTCCATCATCCATTGAATTGGGCGTCAATTAACGGGAGACGCCCAGACCCGGCGCCGTTTAATAGTGTGGCCGTAAGCACAAACGGGCCTTTGCACCCTCAATACTGCCGAGGCACGGCGCTCACACCTCTTGGCAAGGCACTGACTGACTGCGCTGACATAGCAGTTTTGTCACTTAACTGTTACGTCAGCGGGCGATGGGGTCGTCACTTCCCTACGCCTTAATATTATTATTATAATACGCCTTATTATTATTATTATAATGCACATCATTTTCAATATGTACATCATTTTTTAAGTCTAATATCTTGCATATTTTCCCGCCGAGCGTGTTATCTTATGCTTAAATTTTCTCCGTCTCCTGACATCTAGTGACGTTTTCTGACATTATGCAAATTACACTGCCTGCTTCTAGTGGACTTATCTTTTAAGGGTTAGATGGCGCTAGTTCCGCTAATAATTTTTCTGTCATGTATTACTCCATCAAGAATGACAAGTGTCAAACTCGTGTCGCTGTTGTATACAAAACCAAACCGAGCCAAGCTAATATATTATTTATTTCCGAGAAACTTTTCGTTTTATACTTTCGCCTCTTTTTCGAAAGACTATCGTTTAGCTGCTGTAAGTAAGTCTATCAATTTCTGTCTGGTGTTTCACTCATTAATGTTCCATAAATAAGTTTCTTCCGGGTTTCCTAGTAAGGGATCTATGTTTACAACTACGAGATGTACCTGGAACGCTAGTATTACAAATTTTTGAGAGGTGTGGTATGAAATAACAATTACTTGTTATTTTTTACACCTAATCTTAATTCATCGGTATTTTTTATGACTATTAGTCTTTGTTTACAACTTGTTTCCTGTCATTATATCTATAGCCCATGAAGAATTTGTGTTAGGCTGGCTGGCTTTGGTTTTGTACATGCCGTACAGAAATGCAATATTCTTGTAATTTTAGGTGAGTTGTAATTTCTTTGCCTCCAAATTTATGCAAAAGTTTTTTTTTTATTTATGTACATTATTTAAAAGTTTATCCATACAAATACTTCATTATGAAGTTAGTACTATGATATTCTAAAATTATTTGATCTTACTTGTACTAACAGCATAGTAATAGACAATATTTCAGTTTTACTCTTTGTTATTGATTTTATGCTTATTATAAACCCTATCATAAACAGATCCATTCCACAATGTACGAGGGCACAAGCTGTGTTCGATCCGAGCCCATTGTATTACTCATTCAGCTTCCGACTCCGGATCCTTCACTCGGAGCACTGGCAGTGTTTTGCGCAGTCGTGCTTTCTCAGTTTTACTTTTTATCCTAAAAAATATTAATAACCCGTGTTATTATACCATACAATAATTTTCAAAGTGTAGTTCTTTAAAAGTATTGTTCGCCTAAATACAATGAATATGGTAAGGCCTTTATTATTTTTTGCCCTTTTTTAATAATGGCTTATTGAACTGTGAAGTTATGATTTGATTTGTTATGACATGCTCTTATTATGGGCTGTCCCTTTTTTGTGTAATATTATAATGATATTTAGTGAAAGGAATTTCAAGTTTTTGTTTGATGAATAAATCTTAATGTTTTGTTATGTTCACAAGCTGATATGGAATATGATATCTACTCTTCAATAATGTTGATTCATTTTGATACGGGTTGTAAAAAGATTTTTATAGTAATTGCAAGTATGGTGTTTTCTACAGACGCCGATCGATGGCGGAGACTCTTGACTTTGGACCGCTGCCTCATTTTTCTTGCTATCCCTTTTCAACTTGTGTAAATCAAATGTGAGGCTTGTCTACCACCCTATATGTTTGCATATTGATTTTTTAAGAAAGCTTTATGTGTTTATGTTTGTAATTTTTCAATAATTTATAGTATGTAAGTGTTGATAATTTAATTTTTGAGAACGAAAATGCATCTTATTTTTTTGATATTAATGTGTAGATAATTTATGTATTTCATCAGTTTTCTATTTTTATACCAGGTACCAAGTTGATATAGTTTAGTATGGTAATATGTTTTACTCCTCTCTATAAGGTGATGTTACAACTAAATACATACATATGTATGTAGAATGGAACAGAATCATTTCAAGTAATTTTTAACTTTTACCACTGGTTCAAAAAAAAAGAAACCTCAGTCCTGGAAAGAACCAGCAAGAAACCCAGCAGGACTTTTTTTAAAAGCACAATTTACAATATAATATTTTATACAATTATTATGAAAACATTTAGAAACAGCATGGTAGTGATCACCTCATTCCAAGGGGTCATTATCAGTCATATAATCTTCAGTAGTATAATAACCCTTACTAGACAATTTTTGCTTAATAAATAATTTAAACCTTTTGATAGAAAAGGTATTTCTTATCTCTATATTTCTTATGATTAACTTGTAAGACTTCTACATGTATATAAATAAACTATGTTATTAATTAAGTAAGAAATAAATACTAATATAATAAGGAACAGGTATATTTTGTACACATAGACTACATATAGTACAAAAATGCATCAAGTGCTTTGTGTGTTACAAGTATTGTTTCAATAAAGCTTGAATTGTTTTTTTCCTGTTATTAATTGCATTTGTAATTTGTGTAACAGTTGGTGTCTCGCCATGCAGCGCGCGGGTGGGAGCAGGGCCTGTGCGCCATGAGCCACACTCCTATAGGCGGCCACCCGCAAGGTATTTTTTTTAGTTATCTTTTACGCTGTTTCCATCTTCTAGAAAAACGAAGGAGAAAATACGAAAAGTCATTGTATGTAATTCTATGTATACTACTCACTTGCAGAGTTGCACTGTTGCAGAAATAACTGATGATGATAAATATAATAAAATTAAACCGATTGCTTCGACAGGAATATAAACTATGGACCTGAGGCGCACTAATCACGTACTTCGTACTTGTACTCTCTCGTAATTACTCTATAAAAAAAGTTAAAACTTATGCTGATCGCGTCTGACTATAGACAATGGAGTTATTTTTGTCACTATACAAAAAGCACCTATTTTTCCGTTTATTGTTTATTGGTGGAAATCAAAAGCTCCTTAACATCAAAATTAGTAATTATGTTTTACAGGTATTAAAACAAAAGTCGCGATATTTTTATGTTCAATTAAAGCGGCAATTACACTTTTTCTCTCACTTTACTTCTATTTGTTTTTGATGGTAGTTTGAGAAGTTACGAAATGCTTAGAAAGCATACCAGCGCAGACAACGGAAAAAATTCCCTGTAGAACATAGGTTTTTTTACGTGGCAGAGAAATGCTGCAGCTATGTTATGGTTGTAGCATTAATGGGTCGCCTTAACCAGGGAAGGACCACGCTCTCACAGAATATCAGCGTAAAATAACAGCTTAATGCTACTGTGTTTCGTATGATGAGTGTATAGAACCGGAGACCGTTTTTACTGGATACAAGTTATTTCATCTTAGTCTTCAGAGGTGACAACGCATCTGCATTTTGATTCTTAATCTAGGATAAATGTAGATGTCTATGGGCCACAGAAACCACTTACCAATACCATCAGATGGACTGTGTGCTCGTTTGTTACAGTTATTCTGTGAAATAAAGGAGCCGCGCCGTGGGGAGGCGTAGCTTAGATTTCATCTTATTCGTCGATGCGTACCTTAACTATTACCATGATACATGCAGTTTTTTTAAAGCGGCTATTGCGTACTGTATGGTCTGATTTGCGCTGTCAGTATTTCAGTATTTGGTGGGCTTCAGTAGGCTGTACTGCGATGGGTTCCATTCTCACAAACAAAATCCGAACTGCCTGCCATCTGCGCAGTTGCAGATAAACACGTCACAATTCACAATTAATCTTCACCGACACAATTTGGGCTTTGTGAAAATATCTATTTAATTAAAAATAAAATTAAACAGGGATTTTAACAAAGATAATTACGAAATGGTGATCTGTTGCCACTGAATGGATTACTGTCTTCATTGAAGTTACGATTGGTTTTTGCCGAAAAGGAGAAGTTTTGTGATGTTCTATATAAAATTCATAATTATTTTTAAAGTTTTGGGGTTATACTGTAGAATCATTTTGTTGTTTGTCTGTCAATCTCTTTTTCTCAGAAACAGATAACGAGAAAATGTTTTTGCGATTACAAACTTACATTTCCAATTTTAGCATCAACCATGTTATAAACCGATGAATGGAAGAATATTTTTTCAACTGTAAAGTTGATCCTTTTTGTTTGAACAATGTTCGGTGCGTACCTTGCCTATAATTACCGGGTTGGATGATCGATCTACATACATAATTTTGTTTATACGAAACCCTCAGGACTTGAGTTCTATCCGCAGTTCCATTAATACGAGGGCGGCACTGAAAATTTCGGGAATCAAGGAAGTGACACAACATTACTATTTAAAAATGTATTGATCGCTTTTCAAAGTATTCTCCGCGAAATTTGACACATTTTTCCATACGATGGAACCAATCATTGAAGCAACCATTCCATTCGGAAGTTGGCGTCTCCAAAATGGCCGTTTTGTAGGCGTCCACAGCTTCTTCGGGTGATGAAAATCTCTGTCCACGCAATTTATTATTTATTTTAGGGAATGTATTGAAATCATTAGGGCTTAGGTCGGGGCTGTACGGCGGAAGGTCTAATAATTCTATGTTTTCTTGCTCTAAAAACTCTTTTGTTCTGTGTGCGGTGTGAGGACTCGCATTGTTGTGATGGAGGATGATGCGGCGGTTGCAGTTCTCTTTACGGAGTTCAGAAACTACTTGTGGCAAACAAATGCTAGCATACTATTCTGCATTAACCGTTCTTTGTCCCTCAAGAGGAATAGTCGTAACATGGCCGGTTTTGGAGATAAACGTGGCCACCATTTTTTTTGCAATACTCCGTGAACGAACAATTTTTGTTGGCTTTAACTCATTTTCGAACACCCAAACTCGTGACTGGTTTTTTGTATCGGGTTCGTACGCGTATATGTATATCCAGGATTCGTCACCCGATACGATGTTGTATACAGCATTTGAGGATCCTGCGTGGAATCTTTCGAGAGTTCTGACGCACCAAGTAACGCGAGCCGCTTTTTGCTCTTCACAGAGCGAATGCGGTATCCATCGGGAAAACAACTTTTTTACACCTAATTGTTCATGCAAGATTATTTGTATTTGACTCATGCCAATGTCTAAAGTTGCCTGAATTTCGCGGTATGTCACATGTCGATCTTCCTCAATCAGCTTACGCACAGCATCAACGTTTTCTTGGGTGACTGCAGTTTTTGGACGACCTTGACGGGGATCATCACTGAGCTTGACACGTCCACGTTGAAATTCAGCAAACTAGCGATAAATTGTGATTTTGGATGGGGCTTCATCACCAAATGCAGAAATCATCCGGTCAACACACTGTTTTTGTGTTAAACCACATCGAAAGTCAAATAAATCATCTCTCTTGAATTTTTTCGAGTCAATTCCATTTTCTCAACGACTAAACAAGTTTGACAAAACCGAGACCGAGAATCTTTTGTTAAATAAATAAATGGTATTCGATTTTTAAAACCAAGGAGTTTTCAATTAAAAAGATTTTAATATGACAGGAACAGCGGAAATATACCATTCCCGATACTTTTAGCGCAGCCTATGTAGTCCGTCCGAGCGTCCATAAAACGTTAGGTGTTTAGGAGAAGTGGTTCTAGCCATATCTTACGACATTTCACCAGAGGAAGTGGGAGGGTAGAAAAATAGCTTTTCGTAATTAATGCACAGGCAAAATACTGATAATTGCAAAAAATATTTTAGTGCTAAATATTCGAATACTGCCAAAACAATAATGTTAAGTTGTCATAAATTGTTGTCAGGTTGGGAGCACAAGCTTGCAGACAGGTCGTCGCTGCCGCCAGCTTCAGGGGAGGAGAAGAGCAAATCTCAGTCCAAACATGTGTTCACACACCCACACCTGTCTAAGTGAGTGCACGTTACATTATGTGTTTTTTAAGACATTTCATATTTAGGTTGCTATATTTAAAATCGTGAGAATCATCTGGATAATGTATGATTTATCCATGTTATTAATTTTTATATTTCCTTAATATTAATTTCAAAAAGAGTTGAACTGAAACTGATTCCTGCGGTCTAGATATTTGTCATATAAGTCTGAATTTTTTTAATTGGTCACAGCCATTAGACAGAGCTCGCAAGATTTTCCTGCTATTGCGCGATGATTTCATCTAGATTCTCCAACGCTACTCAATTTTAAAATGTCGTTAAGTTTCGTGGTGTCACCATCACTTTGACTTAAAGTGATAGATATAGCACGGGACTTAACGGCATCGTAATTGAGTAGCTATTGTGTATTTCGGCATAAAAGCTCTTATTTTTAAAAGGATTACGGAAAAGAAGATATTTTGCCGCGCTGCACCGCAAATTAGACGATTTCACCAAGCCCAACAAATATTCTTAAACTTTTCAAACGTGTATTCCCCATTATGTTTCCCTTCGCCACATTTACATTACGTGTATCGTGTTATGGGGGTGGAAGAAAGCCGACCTTCCGGAGTTCACTTTGCGATATATTTTGCACTGCTTCGAAAACATTCCAATCCGCTGGGGCGGACACCGGGCATTTGCCCAGTCTACTGTAAAAGTCAGTAGGGCTATGTGGTGACGTGTGGTGTGATTGGTAGGATGGGAGTGGCGGCGTGGCGCGAGGAGACGGAGGGCTCGTCGGGGTCCTCGCCGCGCTCGCCCACCTCGCCGCCCTACATGCGCTGGGCGCGCAGTCTGCACGAACTGCTCGAGGTACGCTTTTATATCACTTATAATTATAACACAGGCTTATGATACCAGTTTCCTATCTGTTATTCAATTACGTTCCTGGGGCAATGTATACGCTATTACAACAAAGTCCCAAATACATACAAGGTATCTCAATGAATATGTTGTTGTTATAAAACAAAAACTGTTTAAAAGGGTTATTATGATATTATCGTCTAGTGGCGGTGTAAGAAGTAGTGTGTGTTGTGTCTTAGGAAAGAGGCGATAGAGGTAATTTTAAACAGGAGATGGGCAGCAGCATCATTCTAATAACACATCAAAATAATGAAAAACTGCGGTTGCAATCCGCCTGCTAAACATGGCAACTACGGCAAAATACCACTATGGGGGAGGCATATGTTCATCGGTGGACTTTTATAGGCTGTGATGGATGGATGGATAATATAAATGAATGGTTGATAATAACCCCTGGGAAGAAGTTTGGCAAGTAGTATGTAAAACCTGTGTTTTTTTTTATTGTATAATATACTATGAAAAAGAAAGCCCCGATTACGTCCCGCAAAAGTTTCTGAACTATTGGTTCAGAAACTTTTTTAAAGGAATATTGAATAAAAAATATTTTATTCTATTCTCACTCAAGCATTCTATCACTCACTGGATCACCTCACTCTATCTCACCAGCATCACTAGTGGCTGTACGTTTTGCTACCACGTCGTATAATTTATATTTAATAAATGTTTATTTTTGAAATTGATTTGGATTACTAAGTAATTATCATGTCGCTTAAGTATAAACAGCTTTATACCTTGAAAACGGTTATAACATTACTGTTGATATATTTTATTATGTGATTTAATCTGGTAAAAAGTAGCAGTCTATATCAAATTATATAATATGAACAAATTATTATTTCATATTATATAATATGAGTTCTTGAGTGCAACTAGATTATAGCATCTTTACCCGTTACACCGATTACCACTTACGATGTTGTAAAATTATCATTTTGTTTATGATAATGTTCCGCGTCCCATTTCAATTTAGCAACTATCATCGATATTATATGTACTATGCACTAGATTTCGCATTCCGAACATTGTCTATGTTCAACTGAACTGTACTGCAGTCCGTACACTAAACTAAATATTGCGTAAATTGAAGATTTGTGAATTCCATAAGATAATTATTATTACATTTTATTTAGAAATATTTTTGTTTAGATTAAAATAAGAGTATTTTATGTTAAATTCTTATATTTATTTTATATTAATATCTTATTTTATATTAAACTTACTGGTCAGGCAGACGTTGTTAAGCCCTTAGCGGCGAACCTTTGTACTATAAAAATCTTTAAATTTGCAATAAAAAAAATTTAGGGTCATTTAGCAGGATAAAAACTATCCTATCTCTCAAGTTGGACTAAATTCACACAGTGTGCAAAATTTCATTGAAATCAGTTCTGTAGTTTAGGAGTCCATCGCGGACAAACAACGTGACACGTAATTTTTTTATTAGTCTTCGCGCATACGCGACTCTAATATCTCCCGCGCATGCACGTAGACATAGAGTAGCGCATAATTTTTGTTTGGAATGGCTTCTCTAGTACGTAGTACATATAACTCAATGGCAACTATTAACTGAATCTGTCTGAAAGACCGGACGAATCGTCCAGTGCGAAAGTTAGTATCAGAGGTTTACATGTTTGTTTGTAGTTTGAATATAAAAAATTCCACGAAAGTCGTGAGAATTTGTTAGTTTGTAAATCGAGTCAATTAAATTAAAACAAGCTTACAAATCAAGTTTACAAATCAAGTTTCTTCCAGAGCGGGATGCAATAGATTTCTCTGGCTTTCAATGCTTTTCAGGTCGAAAGTTGGGAAATAAATATTTTTGTATATTATACGTTTTTAGAAAAATATTATTTTTGTTTAAACTTACTTTCATATTCTTGTCTTCTCTCCGTTCTTCAACTGAATGGTGTTAGGTTCTTAAGACTGAAATCATGTGCGTTTCTAAGGTTTTACAAGATTTTAATGACCATTAACTAACAGAAGGAAAAGAACTAGGGACAGGGTTATGAAAGAAATCGATGGAATATTATTCATAGTTCGGTCTAAATATGAATAATATTCTATCGGATAAATTATCCCATTTAAGTAACTCACAAAAACTGGAGTCCCGAATATTATACAGTTTTGTTTTACCTGAGAATGCCTACAGCATGACCGTCTTGCGGAGGAAACTTGCGACTTACACAAACAAGGACTGCTATTCAGAGGGAATATCTATCGAGTTTAAACACAAACCAAACAAATTTTGACATTAGAGTTTAAACTCGATATTGTCTCTGAATAGCGATCTAAAACTCCATACCAAGCTTAGCAGCACATCAGCCGTAGAATATCCGTGCTACGGTATATATACCATACGTTAACTACTGGACAATTATTATTCAGGTAGTTTTGGTGAAGTCTCCTGTCATAATATGTAAGACATTAGCGATTAAGTCTTTCGATCTTTCCTTCTCGTGTAAGAAGAAATGTGTCGCTTTCTGACAACACCGATACCCTGTAGTGGCGTTGTAAGAATATCCGCTACTCCATATCGTCCTTTGGGTGTTGTAAGAGGCAACAGAGTGAAGCTAAAACGGAAGATGGGCAGTAGCATCTTCCTAACAACGACTCAAAATATTAACAAATTGCGGTTCCATGTGTGGCATAATCTATTCGAGAGGCATATGTTACGCAGTGAACTTTTATAAGGCTGTATTGGAAAGAAGTAATGAGGGAACTGTGGGTGACATGTGTTGTTGGGCGTAGGACGCAGAGGGCGTGCGCCTGTTCCGCAAGTTCGTGGGCGGCGCGGGCGGGCTGCACGTGGACCGGCTCAACTTCTACTTCGCCGTGCAGGGCCTGCGCCAGGAGACCGAGCCCGCCAAGATACGCCAGGTCGTCTCCGCTATATACAAGTGAGCAAACTTTCTTTCTGCACCGTACACTACACTGAACCACTTACCATAACCCAGAGAGGGACGATGACTCGGGTGGTTTCGAGACATCGTCATAACATTGCGGGGGTGCAAGGAGTGCTGCTCCGGGAACGAGCTTCTTGCCGAGCTAGGCGATGGAGAGCCTTTAGTTGCCTCCCGAACGAAGATCCCAGGATCAAGATAACTCGGTTCGATTAAGAAGTAATAAGCTTAGATAATGATTTTTTTTTAATTTGCCTTTAAGTCTATGTTTTGTTTTAAAGTTTAACACACTAGCCTACAATACACCTGATGGTACGTAGATGATCTGGGCCGTAAACGCCTACATCTAAGCCCTATAAAAAAATCAAAATGCAGATGTAGTGTTACTATGGTGAGGACTAAGATCTGATGCCTCGTAATCAGCAAAAGATTCTCTAGTTACTCACTATACTAATCACATTAAAATTGTGCTGCTTTTTTACGCTGGCATTTTAAGCGAGCGTGAGGTTTCCCCATCAAACTGACCCTTGTTTCAGTCTTATTACAGTTACAGCAAGGCACTACCATGTTAATGACTACCAATGTAAAAAGCGTCACAAATATTCAACTGATACAACGTAGAAAATTTTGGATGTCACTACTTTACTTAACTTGAAATTATTTTCTTATTGCCTGAAAGGTGTAACTGGTCAAGTTATAAGTTAAATAAGTAAATTAAAAAAAACAATCTGTTGATAATTACCAGTGTTTCACGTTTGTCATCAAATAAAAAACTTATACGTGCAAGTAAATTTACAGATCAGTAGGAGATAGAGATTAATGTTAGTATATAATGTTGCGCTGTGTACCGACAGATTCCTGCGCAAGTCACAGCTAGCGATGCCCGACGAGCTGAAGCAGCGCGTGAAGCAGGGCCTCAAGGACGGCTCCAACATCGAGAAGACGATCTTCGATAACATGGAGCAGGAGGTGAGTGAATCACGACAGCAGGTCGTGATGCCTGGGTTTGACTATGTTATCTTTGGAAAGTCCCTAACTGATGCGGGTCTAAGAATTTTTTTTATATAATAAGAGTGAAATACGACCCACAATCCACCTAATAATAAATGAAGGTTGTGATCCATAGACATCTACCATCTATCCCCAATTAAGAATCAAACGAGATTATATCTACCAAAACGGGTCTCCGGTTCTCTACATTCACCATACGAAACAACAGCATTAAACTGCTATTTCACGCTGGTATTGTGAGAGCGTGGTTTTTCCCCGATCGAGCCCACCCATTCGTAATACAACTATAACATAGCTGCAAAATGGCTCTACAACACATAGAACGAACTGGAACTAAAAAAACAATTTTTTTTAATCATCACCTAGTAAAAGTCAATAGCTGGGCTTGACAGAACAATTTGCAGTACCAGAAGCCTCACCTTTAACGCTGCTTCCGGTTATTTGTTTTCTTTCCAAAGACATCTATATATGATAATAGACGTGCTTAATACATTGCACACTTAGTTACGGTCTATTCTCTGTAACTCCTTTAGAAAACTGCGAGCAGACAAGAAGACTAGTTCTTTGTTTTGTAAACTGCGAACGTTGTCGACAATCTAACATTGATTTTGTTTAATGTAACTAAGCTTTCATTATTTATGCACGCACTTTGTAAACGTGATTTGAATTTTATTTCGGAAAGATAAGTATGTAATTTTATTTCATATTTGTCTAAAGACAGTAACTGTTGTAAATGAAAATACGATTGCGTGGCATATTTACTGTGCCAGCTAGCCGCCCGCGCTTGTACGATCCACAGTTGTGACACAGTTTTTGTTCTGAATTGCTGGTATATTTGTATACATGGAAGTATTTGGTTCTTTTATATATAATTAATAATTTAATCTTTAATATCTAATATATTTATTCGCCTGTACGTTACTCATTAGAGGGCGCACTGAATACTAGCTTCGTGAATAATACCACGAAATTATGCCGAGTATGCCTTCCTTTTATATCAAATTCGCACGCGTAATAAAGCTTAGGATTAAACTACTTCCATTCTATTTTATATAAGACTAGCTGATACCCGCGACTTCGTCCGCGTTGCTTGATATATGAACAAATTTGCTTGTAGCATGAACAACGTGCGAAGGAAAAACATGAAAAAAAATCGCATACAAAATTTCTTTGTAAACAATGTTATTCGTTGCTCCGTTTGTAGCTAAAATATATAAATTATCTAAGTTTAGCGTGATAGCAAGCGACATACAGTTGACCGTGTATAAAACCCCGTATAAAAATCGTTGTTCCTTAAAACTTTAATAACTTTGTATCGAATATCGCAATATTTTTTTTATAAAGGCCAAGTATCGTATACGTCCAAGTATATAAGTAAGAAATAAAACTTAGAAAACCTTATGAAATCTATCCAGTCGTTTTTTCGTAATACGCGCACGACTGCAAACCTATATCATTTTATTTATATAGATTTAGTATTTTGAGTTCTGTAATTATAAGTTGTTTAGTCTATAATATATTTTGTAAGATATATATTACCGTGTAGTACTATCTCATATCGTCCCGTGGGTGTCGTAAGAGGCATCGGAGGGAAACAAACCAGAAGATGGGCAACAGCTGTTTCCTAATAACGATACGAATAATATTTATATGTGGTAGAGTCATGCTATATTAGTAGTATAGTTGTAGCACGAATGGGTCGGCTCGACCGGGGAAGGACCAGAGTGAGTGTAGAGAACCGGAGACTCATTTTATTGGAAAAGAGGCATTCTATCTTCGTCCTCACAGGTGACGACGCATCTGCATTTTGATTCTTTATTAAGGATAAATGTAGATATCTATGTGGATTGTGTGCTCGTTTGTCACCCTATCCTATAAAAAAACGACTAAAAATAAAAGCTTCGGTTGCCAACTCTCTTGCCAATGCCAAGCATGGCAACTGTGGTAAATATCCCTAAATCTATGACGCAATGTATGGGAAATACTTTAACGACTTTAGTGGTAAATACTTTAAGGACAATAGGCGGTAACAGTGTTGGTGTTAGTTGTAATAAATGTTTTTGTTTGTTTGTTTGTAACGTACGTGTGCGTTGGTGTTGGCAGGTGACGCTGGCGATCACGGAGACGACGTACCAGGCGTTCCTGCGCTCGGACGCGTACGTGTCGTACGTGGGCGCCGCCACGCAGCCGCTCTCCTCGCCCGACGCCGACCACCACCGCGACGCAGCCGTGAGCGAACACACTTGCTTACTGCACTTGCTCCCCGTTCTAAACCGAACACTCCGCCCAACTTGCGAATCTCTCAGTGGCCTGACCGCTCAGTTTTTATATGAAGTGACTAGAGAAGTTACTTCTCTCTTGTTTACCAACCAACTTTAAACAAAGAAAACTACAAATGCGTAACACCATTGAGGACTAAGTTGGAACACCTCATAAGCCTGTAATTACATTGGCTCTCTATAATCCTTGAGATCAGAATACGGTAGAAAGTGGTAAAAAGTTGATTTGGGTGGTTTCCTACCCTAGGGAGAAAATCTATCTATTTATCTATACTGAATAAAAAATGTGCTGTTTTTTTCTTGGACATGTGTTGCGATGTTTTTATTTTCGCGGCCGCATACGCCAATAATATTTAATTTGAATTTGTTAAATAATTATGCTTTTTCTTAATTTAGTTCACTGGTTATTTTTTTATGTCATTCTTTCAAATTACAGAATAGTTCATAAGAAATAGTACATTAATCCATTGACATGTTCAAACCAACAAAGACAGCTATATGGAGCGCTGCGTACATTTTAAGTAATGTCTAAACCATGCTGAACTTTGAAATACATCCTTCTCCTTTCTTTCATTAATAGCCCATAAAATGTTCACTGCTAGATGCACTTATATGCGTCTTAAACCATGTCGTTTGTTACTAAATATTTAAAATATATATTTGTAATTGAGTGTGTGTGCTTGCAATAAGTTGAACATGGTTTCGGCTTAGTTTTATGATGAATAATAATTTGAGTCATAAAGACCTGTTATTGGGTGCAGTCTGTGGGGTGCGGGCTGGCGACGCTGCACGAGGAGCAGGAACTGTGTGCTGGGGGTGCGGGGGGCGCGGCGTGCGCGGGGGGCGCGGGCGGCGCGCCCGCTCGCCTCACGCACGACGCGCTGCTGGCCACGCAGTCGCGCCGACTGCACTCCGATGTCGCGCCGTGAGTACATGCGCACGCATACACACGCTCACGTACACGCACACACACACGCGCGCAACTGACACGCACTGTGAGCGCTAACCTACATCTGCGCAGGAACGACAGGCCAGCTTACTTCGAGCGGCAGAACTTTGCTCGATGCCCACTGGATTCGTTGATTGGTGCATGCACCATAAGTTGTGTGTAATCAATTACACAACCCGTATAATTTTTTATGGTTTATACACACGTTATTAGCATGGATACACTATACGCGCATACACTAAAGCGTACCGCCCAAGACAAGTCAGAGCACTGTTCGGCGTCTCTCCTTAGAATCAAATATAGCTGGGCTCACTGATTCGAGTCCAGGCGGCGTCAATACACTAGCACGTCTATTTCGCCGCATTCTTGATAGTGTAAAGTCCATTCCTCGACTCCGCCTCAACTGTACACTATTCGACTTCTCTTAATACAAGTATATACGCAAATGCATATGCATGCGTACCTACAAACAATCATGTGAACATTTTCGCACCTAACGCACTAATGCTCGTAAAATGCTAATCACAAATCTCATCTTTAATATTCACTCATTCTTTTTCACGAGACATTATTCCTGTTATTATGAATATAAACTCAAAATAGAGATCGAATTATTAAAATAGTGTCAATTAAAATGAAAATTATTAATGTCTTAATGTTTTATGGATATAGGTAAACAACTGAAACATGTCTCTTTGCCAAAATAAAATAGTCTGGGCTGTCTCACAAAGCAGGTATACAAGCGTGTCTACAACCACCACAACAATCAAAAAATTTTAGGAAAAACATCACACAATAAATAAATCTCACAATAAAATTTACATTTTCATTTGAATGTTTCCAAAAGTTGACGAACTTGTGTTATTCATCGCTTTTTTTTTTAATATAGTAGTGCACAATATAATGTTTAATTTTAGATAATTTGTTATTATTTTTAACGTAAATGAAATTCATGCAAGATTGTAGTTAAATAAAGACGAAGTTAAATCATAGTAGAAATTGTTCACAATTGTTAAAGTTGGTAGTGATGTAAAACTAAAAATTAAAATCAATTTAAAAAAAAAAACCTTGTCTTATAGTTGTATGTTCGTCTTTGTTTAAGTTTATATTTGAATTGCTATAGTTCACTTTTCATTGCTACCCTAGTAATAATTGACACACGCTGTATGGATACATATTTTAATGTGTGACCCCGCAATGCATGAGCGACAATCCAGCGTGTAATTCCTTTGATTTATTTTCTTTTGTTTTAATTTGTTTGACCCCTAGCAGCTTTACTGATGTATCCATGTATTGTTTTGCCCCCATGTTTGTGTCCCCTGCGCCTGCATGTTCGCTGCCCCGACGCAAATTGTATCCACGCTACACTGTTTTTACCACCTAAAATTTACCCTATGAACTCTTTCCCGACTATTCCCCTTTCTATCCACAATAACTATAATTGTAATCTATTTTTCAATTGTATATATATATAATACACTTTTATACACATTGCATATCATTATTATTAACATAATACTTGTACATATACTTATAACAACAAATTAAATGATCTATTGTGTTACTATTTTCTTTGATAACTTCATAAATCACTTGCACATTTTTTGACATATCACTGAAAATCTAATATCTATCAATATCAACACACTCATACACACCGATATTCCAAATTTCCGATGACGTTCCCTGTGACGCATCCATCGCTCCCTTGACCCGTCCCGGTGGTAAGAGCAGGCACCGCAAGCGGTCGGTATACAGCGCGCACGTGTCGTACGCCGGCTACTGCCCCGCGTCGCGCCAGGACTCGGAGCGCGCCAGCCTCAGCAGCGGCCGCACCGACAGCGACGCGGTCTCGCTGTCCGGCAGCAGTGTGTGAGTGTTGCCCCTCTACTGCCTCCAGTCCACTGCGCACTGTACACTGTACTGTACTGTACAGCGCGCACGTGTCGTACGCCGGCTACTGCCCCGCGTCGCGCCAGGACTCGGAGCGCGCCAGCCTCAGCAGCGGCCGCACCGACAGCGACGCGGTCTCGCTGTCCGGCAGCAGTGTGTGAGTGTTGCCCCTCTACTGCCTCCAGTCCACTGCGCACTGTACACTGTACTGTACTGTACAGCGCGCACGTGTCGTACGCCGGCTACTGCCCCGCGTCGCGCCAGGACTCGGAGCGCGCCAGCCTCAGCAGCGGCCGCACCGACAGCGACGCGGTCTCGCTGTCCGGCAGCAGTGTGTGAGTGTTGCCCCTCTACTGCCTCCAGTCCACTGCGCACTGTACACTGTACTGTACTGTACAGCGCGCACGTGTCGTACGCCGGCTACTGCCCCGCGTCGCGCCAGGACTCGGAGCGCGCCAGCCTCAGCAGCGGCCGCACCGACAGCGACGCGGTCTCGCTGTCCGGCAGCAGTGTGTGAGTGTTGCCCCTCTACTGCCTCCAGTCCACTGCGCACTGTACACTGTACTGTACTGTACAGCGCGCACGTGTCGTACGCCGGCTACTGCCCCGCGTCGCGCCAGGACTCGGAGCGCGCCAGCCTCAGCAGCGGCCGCACCGACAGCGACGCGGTCTCGCTGTCCGGCAGCAGTGTGTGAGTGTTGCCCCTCTACTGCCTCCAGTCCACTGCGCACTGTACACTGTACTGTACTGTACAGCGCGCACGTGTCGTACGCCGGCTACTGCCCCGCGTCGCGCCAGGACTCGGAGCGCGCCAGCCTCAGCAGCGGCCGCACCGACAGCGACGCGGTCTCGCTGTCCGGCAGCAGTGTGTGAGTGTTGCCCCTCTACTGCCTCCAGTCCACTGCGCACTGTACACTGTACTGTACTGTACAGCGCGCACGTGTCGTACGCCGGCTACTGCCCCGCGTCGCGCCAGGACTCGGAGCGCGCCAGCCTCAGCAGCGGCCGCACCGACAGCGACGCGGTCTCGCTGTCCGGCAGCAGTGTGTGAGTGTTGCCCCTCTACTGCCTCCAGTCCACTGCGCACTGTACACTGTACTGTACTGTACAGCGCGCACGTGTCGTACGCCGGCTACTGCCCCGCGTCGCGCCAGGACTCGGAGCGCGCCAGCCTCAGCAGCGGCCGCACCGACAGCGACGCGGTCTCGCTGTCCGGCAGCAGTGTGTGAGTGTTGCCCCTCTACTGCCTCCAGTCCACTGCGCACTGTACACTGTACTGTACTGTACAGCGCGCACGTGTCGTACGCCGGCTACTGCCCCGCGTCGCGCCAGGACTCGGAGCGCGCCAGCCTCAGCAGCGGCCGCACCGACAGCGACGCGGTCTCGCTGTCCGGCAGCAGTGTGTGAGTGTTGCCCCTCTACTGCCTCCAGTCCACTGCGCACTGTACACTGTACTGTACTGTACAGCGCGCACGTGTCGTACGCCGGCTACTGCCCCGCGTCGCGCCAGGACTCGGAGCGCGCCAGCCTCAGCAGCGGCCGCACCGACAGCGACGCGGTCTCGCTGTCCGGCAGCAGTGTGTGAGTGTTGCCCCTCTACTGCCTCCAGTCCACTGCGCACTGTACACTGTACTGTACTGTACAGCGCGCACGTGTCGTACGCCGGCTACTGCCCCGCGTCGCGCCAGGACTCGGAGCGCGCCAGCCTCAGCAGCGGCCGCACCGACAGCGACGCGGTCTCGCTGTCCGGCAGCAGTGTGTGAGTGTTGCCCCTCTACTGCCTCCAGTCCACTGCGCACTGTACACTGTACTGTACTGTACAGCGCGCACGTGTCGTACGCCGGCTACTGCCCCGCGTCGCGCCAGGACTCGGAGCGCGCCAGCCTCAGCAGCGGCCGCACCGACAGCGACGCGGTCTCGCTGTCCGGCAGCAGTGTGTGAGTGTTGTCCCTCTACTGCCTCCAGTCCACTGCGCACTGTACACTGTACTGTACTGTACAGCGCGCACGTGTCGTACGCCGGCTACTGCCCCGCGTCGCGCCAGGACTCGGAGCGCGCCAGCCTCAGCAGCGGCCGCACCGACAGCGACGCGGTCTCGCTGTCCGGCAGCAGTGTGTGAGTGTTGTCCCTCTACTGCCTCCAGTCCACTGCGCACTGTACACTGTACTGTACTGTACAGCGCGCACGTGTCGTACGCCGGCTACTGCCCCGCGTCGCGCCAGGACTCGGAGCGCGCCAGCCTCAGCAGCGGCCGCACCGACAGCGACGCGGTCTCGCTGTCCGGCAGCAGTGTGTGAGTGTTGCCCCTCTACTGCCTCCAGTCCACTGCGTACTGTACACTGTACTGTACTGTACAGCGCGCACGTGTCGTACGCCGGCTACTGCCCCGCGTCGCGCCAGGACTCGGAGCGCGCCAGCCTCAGCAGCGGCCGCACCGACAGCGACGCGGTCTCGCTGTCCGGCAGCAGTGTGTGAGTGTTGCCCCTCTACTGCCTCCAGTCCACTGCGCACTGTACACTGTACTGTACTGTACAGCGCGCACGTGTCGTACGCCGGCGGACTCTCCCGGACAACGACGTGGTCTCGCTGCGTGGCTGGCTGGCTATCACTTGATACCTTCTACCGAATTTTGTCTGGTAACAGCGTGTGAATTATACGCATCTACACTGGCTTGGAACCACTAGCTCACACTAGCTGGCTAGCAACGGATGGCGTCTACTGATTCGTCACCTTTGGTTTGGTAATGAGGGTATCCACGAATATTTCAGCCACCAGGGCGGCGCCACTTAGGAGCCGTTAGCGGCTGTCTACCACGGGATAGCGTCTACTAGCTCTGGTTTGATATCACTTTCTAATGGTAATGAGGGCTTCTTCTGCCCTCATTATCATTCACCAGGACGATGCCACTATATTAGACAGATTTCATGGCGGGCGCAGTAAAAAATAAAGAGCAAACCAATGAGGCATTGTTTTGTGTTTCACATACTGCGCTAGAAACCGATAAACTTTTATTTTTAACGCAATTTCTCAATTATAATGACATTGACAAATAACTTCACCTCAGTCCTGACTAGCGACATCTGGTTGGCCGAAGATTATTAACTCTCATTGTTTAACTGTAGCTGGCTGGTGTACACCGAGTCTTGTTAAAGACAATGATATGATTCAACAAAATACGTGAGTATATTCATAGTCAGTGCTATACTGGCAACTGTTTTTATCACTCACCGAGTTAAAGATTTGGAAAGTCTGTTTTCAAAATGGAAAGCGGTGGCACAACAAAATTTTTAAACATGAATTTTATAGGTAAGTGTAAATGTTACAAAATGTTAAACTAAAAGACTTATCATCGACCTGAGACAAAAGTTCTTCTAGGTAAGTTACATCTAGATAACATTTAGAAGTGAGCTTCAATAGACCTTTTTTTTTCTTTAGTTTCCCCCACTAAGTTGCATTAGAACCCTCAAGCTGTATTCATCGCTTTAGATCAACAACTAATATCACGATGCAGATCATTGTCATAGGTTTTGCTAATTATGTTCACATAAAAAATTATTATTTATATTACATGTTTTTTTCTATTTATTAGCCTGTTTTTGATGTACCCATGATATCTAAATAGCTAAAATACATGAAAAGTACGTAAATATTATAAATATTTATTTAAGGAAGCTATGATAGAAAAAGTCTTGACTAAACTACACTAAAATTTGAGAGTACAATTATATATTTAATTGATCGTTTAAAATTCACTGCTGCATATAGTTCTTTTCTCAACTACACTAAATACACGATACCATCCGCACTTATGGATACTTAGCGATCCAATAATGTGCGATTTATTAGGAGTTTTCTTCCTCGTACCACTTCTTTGTGGAATCGTTTCCATCGCCGTTTCGGATATTCAAGAAACGAGTTTACTCTTTTCTAAAAGGCTAGCAACGCCTGCAAACCCTCAATTTCCCTGATGTTAAAGTTGTTCATGGGCTACAGTAGACATTTACCATCAGGTGAGCCGCATGTTCGTTCGCCCTCTCTTCTGTAAAAAAAAAACTAATGCCACATTTCTTGAAAGAGAGCTAAGTTGCTAATGAATGAGTGAACTAAATATTTTCATATTAGCAAATGTTTTTTTGAATTTTAATTTCATGTAAAAGTCGATTAAGATAAATTCCAAGTTTAAAATATCTAAGCTATGACTGCTAGATGGATAAATGACGGTAGTTAATAACGTAATATCTTTTTCTAGCGACGGCATGTCGTTGCGAGTCCGGGAACCTCGCGAGTCACGCCATAGACCACGGTTCCACGGCCTCGACCGCCACGCCGTCATCAACAAGGAACAAGACACTGCTATGGTGAGAAATGACACATTAAAACAATACGTATTTGTCGCAATTTCGACTTGCTTAATTTTCAGTTTACTTAAATCCTCCTCCGCGTATTTAAATTTATTAAGCAAAAAGTAGTAATAGTAACCGAAGTGATTGTATTTATATTTTTTGTGTATAGTCCTCTCGCCAAGTACAAGGTATTTCATTTCGTACAATGACCTTTGTTCCAACTGTCAGTGGTCAAAAACATTTTTAGATAAAGTACAAGTCTGTAATATCATCATCATCATCATCATTACAACCCTTCACAAGTCCACTGCTGAACATAGGCCTCCCCCAAGGAATGCCATAAAGCACGGTCCTGAGCCACCTGCATCCATCGACTTCCTGCATATCTTACCAGGTCGTCACTCCATCTAGTGGGGCGATGCCCAACACTTCGCCTGCCGGTACGAGGCTGCCACTCGAGAACCTTTTTTCCCCATCGGTTGTCGGTTCTTCGAGCTATATGGCCGGCCCATTGCCACTTCAGCTTACTAATCCGTTGGGCTATGTCGGTCACTCTGGTTCTACTGCGGATATCCTCATTTCTGACTTTATCACGCAGAGAAACGTCGAGCATAGCCCTCTCCATAGCTCGCTGAGCGACCTTGAGCTTTGCAATTCTCTCAATTGGATAGGTTTCGTACTCTGGTTCTGTACTCGGATAGCCATCGTAGCCCTACTGTACAAGCACTTCAGCACTTCGATATACCGATAGTCAACTTGGCACCGCTGAAGGGACTGCAACATCGCCCAAATTTCGACGGAGACAAAGGCTTTCTCATAGTCCACATACGCCAGACATAGTGGCAAATTGTACTCCTCTGACTTCTGTACAATTTGCTGAAGGGTGTGTATGTGGTCTATGGTACTAAAGCCTTTTCGGAAACCGGCTTGTTCGGGAGGCTGGAAGTCGTCAAGTCTGCGCGCGAGACGATTCGTAATGACTCTCGAAAACAGCACGTAGACGCGGCTCAGAAGGGAAATCGGTCTGTAGTTCTTTAAGAGAGCGTTGTCGCCTTTCTTGAAGAACAAAACCACCGCACTTCTGCTCCACGCCTCCGGTGTAATGCCACCATGGAGGACGGAATTAAAGAGCTTCTGAAGGACTTCAAGTACCGGTTTTCCACCCGCTTTCAGAAGCTCCGCTGTAATTCCATCCTCGCCTGGGGCCTTGCCGTTTTTAAGGTGCTGGAGAGCCATTCTAATTTCGCTCAGACTGACGTCCGGGATATCATCGGTATAGTGTCGGATAAGACTCGCTCTTGGATCGTTACTCACACTTGCGTGTGACTCCAACGATGACGTGTACAGCTGCCCATAGAACCTCTCAATCTCACTCAAAATCTCAATTGCCCCGGAAACGATGCTGCCACATTCTGACTTCAGCTTTGACATTTGGCTCTTTCTGACAGACAGATCTCTGGCAAAGACTTTGGGAGCCTTGATTCCGCTCGATCGCTTCTTCAATACGAGCTGTATTGAAGTGTCGTCCCGCCGCATGCATTTGGAGATCTGTCTGTTCAGTTGCCTGTATGCTGTCAGATCTGTTGAAGAATGTAGCTTCATCTCCCGTCTAACAGCCATGAGATTAAGAGTGTGATAGGAGAGTTTTTGTGTTCTTCTGCGGCGGGTCTTGCAGAACTTAGCTCCGACCGCATGGACAGTTTCCACAAGCTTGTCATTCATATCGTTCACTGAATTGCAATCTTCTAGGCACTGAAAATGGTTTTGTAACTCGAGCTGAAAGGTTTCGGGACTTTGGATTAGAGCACGAGGGGGACGGAGCGTTGACTTCATTAGACGAGACCTCTCCAACTTAACGTTTAGGTTCAATATGCCTCTAACCATTCGGTGATCGCTGCCGGTATTCACCCTCGCGATCACTGAGATATCACTGAACAGTTGTCGTCTGGTCGTCGTAATGAAGTCAATCTCATTTCTTGTCGAACCGTCGGGGCTCGACCAGGTCCACTTCCTGTGGGGCCACTTCTGGAAGAAAGAGTTCATCATAAAGAGTCCCTCTTTCTCCATGAAGTCGGCCAGCTGCTGGCCCCTTGGGTTCCGTTGCCCTATTCCAAATTTCCCTACTTTCAGCTCACCATTCTCTCTTGTGCCTAGTTTTGCATTGAAGTCTCCCATTAACACCGTATATTGGGTTTTGGAGGAATGCATGGCTCTAGAGATATCCTCATACATTTGCTCCACCTCCTCATCGGGGTGTGCCGCCGTTGGTGCGTAAACCTGTATAACCTTCAGCGAATACCGTTTGGTGATTCTGAGTATAAGGTACGCAACCCTCGTCGACACACTCAATCTTTACAACGTTGTTAACGAGAGACTTGTGGACGATAAATCCGACACCTACTTGGGACAGATGGTCGCCCACCCGATAATAGAGCAAGTTGCCGGATTCGAGGATTACCGTTTCCTCCCCCTCTCTTCGGACTTCGGATAATCCTATAATATGCCAGCGTAACTTCCTATTCCATCTCTTTATCCAGCTCCACAATCTTCTCGTCAGTCCTCAGGATGCGTGCGTTATATGTTGCCAGGTCGAGTCGTCGTAGGTGGCAACCGAACCTCCACCGGAGATTCTTAGCACCCCCTGCCCCGCCGTTACCATGGTCGCCACAGTAGCCAGGAATAGCGGGGCCGCCGGGGACTGGGGGCCGTCTCTTAGTAACTTTATCCATTTGGGGGGTATTTGCCATAGTTGCCACGCTTGGCGAGCGGGTTGGCAACCGCAGTTTTTTTTAATTGTATTTTTGCTGTTATCAGGAAGATGCTGCTGCCCATTTCCTGCCTGTTTCCTTTTGTCGCCTTTTACGACACCCACGGGAAGATATGGGGTAGTGGATATTCTTAACCGTCTATATCTGTAATATATTAAGCTAAGTAATAAACATAGAATCGCAATAAAAAAAAATATGTTACGACAGCTAGTTGCGTTGTGCATGTGGTAGCAGGAGAATATTCCCGAAGATGGCCTCTGTCAAGTTAGTAAATTGTGTAGGCTTATAATAGGCAAACTCAAACCATTGATGCAATCAAAACGCAACGTTATGTCTACATGCAAAAAGCCTGTTGACCTAGAATTTTATAAATTCCTTTTATTGGTTATAAGTCCTTAAGCCGGGGATCGGAGAATTAATTACTTCGGAAACGCGAAAGTGAATCCTACTTCAGGAAACAACTGCGGGCAATCGACATACATCTGTGATTATTCAGGACCTTACCTCACTGTGAATAAACGAATATGTTCATTTCTCATCCTAGTCGCACGTAACAATGTATTTATTATGCTTTGTCTGACTCCGATAAGTTACTTAGTTTCGATTACTGACGAGTCGATTCCCTTTACTTAAACGTGTACTTATTTAGCATTTAGAAGAAAATAAAAAAATAGTAATTTTGCGTTCTAAAATAAATATTTACATAAAATCAATTTGTTTCGGTGTCCCAGGATGTCAAAATCTCTAGTTATTTTTAATTATTTAATTTATCGAGTATATCGACGTGATGAAACACACGCTACCGACTTAATTTTAAAAACTATTTAACCAAAAACTGAGTTATCATCAGCATATTCCAATACAGAATGTCACTAAAACTTTAAAAATAAATAACAATGTTAAGAAATCAAAGAACACGTGCACAAGAACAATCCTTTTTATGGTCAAAAGGTTTGCAATAACTGATGATGGCGGTCACTATATATGTGCGAGCGCAACGGTAATATTTTTAAGCGCAAGCGCGAGTGAGTAAGACATGTAATGACGGGCCATTGTACGAAATCCCTAGTGTTGATCGACCGGACGTTAACTTAATGGATAGCCTCTGTAATTACATTATATTCTCAGTCAGAATACAGCCTTATATAACTTGATTTGAGACTGTTGATTATGACGAATGTGCTTTGTTTGGTCTGCAGGTGATCCCGCGCACACAACGGGTGCAGTCGGAACAGCTTCGCGTACTGCCGCCGCAGGAGTTCGCCGCGCTGCTTACCGAGAAGTTAGAGCGGGTGCGCCGCGACATAGACGCCAAGGAGCGCCTCGAAAGAAGGCTCGCTGAGGTAACCCATATCGGCACCCACAAACATACCTCGATGTGGGAACACACATCGTCATACACACACTCGCCTCTGACAGATAACGCACACCGACACCTACATACTTGGTTCGCTAAAGTATCGCACATTTCCAACCATACATTTGCTTCGCTGTGAAAATAGACGCCGCCATCAACGCACTTATCTCGCTAAGATAATGCACACCGCCACCCTCACACCATCCAAGCTAAACCCAATTATATATTTTTTCTCTTAAGTGCTCATACATATGCAGACCACATCCGTGGCCTTCATTGTATGAATTTGTTTCAAAGTGGCCATGGGTGGCAATTTTTAGGTGGATGGTTAGCCGTTTTGTCACTTTAATTTCAAAAGTATTGCTCTTAATAGACTATTTAAATTAGATTTTAAAATTATTTTATTACAGGTACATTTTATGAATATCTATTCTGTTTTAAAATGCTTTGTTATTAATATCAACATACATATAATGTTGATATTAATAACTATTATTTAAAAAAGTCAAGGACAGAACACCAAAAATTAATTCAATAATTTGCAATGGAATAAATACAAGAAACTTGGATTTACTTTTTGTATGTTATTTCATTTTTAAACATCGAAACTCCTTAGCATGTTATCCCCATTTTGACGTATATGTATTTTTCATCAGGGTGATGGTGAAGACGCGTCCACTCAGGCTTTGCCACCGCAGTTAGTAGCGGCCGCTATCCGGGAGAAACTTCAACTGGATGACGACAATGACCAAGATATCCTTGGTGAGCAATATTCGCACATTATTTATATTATATTTGGAAATCAAATTTAATTTCCAAATTAATAAAAATGTAATTTGAAAACTGAGTTTCAATACTTTAATTGTAATGTGAGTATTATAATGTGTACTTGTACCCTGTCGATGTCGATGTGCCGTTGTTTTTTTTGCGTTATAAACCATACTGTAAGGGTGGTTAAAGCTCCGTGTAGTGCGGCGTTTCATGTACACTGGAGTCGCTCGGCAACTTCGATAACGTGAATTCTTCGTTTCGTTTGTGACTTCCAAATGATGCACAAACATTTTAAACTTATTAGGAGTGGTGTAAGGGAATATTAGCAATTTTAATATAATTGCTAGTATTTTATTAATTAAAAAAATGTTACATAAAATACGAGTGTCAATGTGAAATGTTCGTTGACGTGCAGACCAGCACGTGTCGCGCGTGTGGTCGGAGCGCACGCCGGGCGCGTCGCCGCCGGGCGGGCGGCGCGCACGCGGGCGCCACGCGGCGCACGCGCTGCACGCCGCACACGCGGCACACGCCGGCCACGCTCCGCACGCGCCGCACGCCGGCCGGCGCGCCGCGTCCGCGCTGTCGGCCGACTCGGGCCACTACGACGCGCCCGAGGGCCTGCACCACCCGCACTCGCTCACGCGCAGGTACAAAGCACCACCACCACTCAACTTCTCAACACATATTGCCTACGAACTACTACTAAATACCACATTTTTATGAACTGCTGTTAAATTGTCGTTTGGTTTCGTTGATATGTGTACATGTATCGGTATAAATTAAAAACCAATATATTTCTTATATTAATATGTTATTTTACGTTATATAATAACGCACTTACACAACGATTCCCATGGGCAAACATAAACACTACTATAATGAATCCACAAGAGTAACACAATGACACTGCTGTTTCACAAATGACTCTTTATATTATTACTAACTCCATCTCCATTATTTCATATAAAGTAGCCATAACTGTATTTAACACGTACAATAGAATGTCGCTGTATAGATTATCTCTAATATTTTCTAAGGCTTAAATTGCATTCGTTATTATTTCTGTGGAAAACATTACTCAAACATTTCTCTACAAATATTTCTTTGATTCTATTTTAATTCTTAAAATTAAGAATCGTACCCAGGTATCATACTATTAAACTTTAATTTTACTCTGTTAAAAGCATTAAAAGTTATGACACACGTGTCGCAGGCAAAACAATATTTTAACAGGTCTTTGTATAATTAAAGAACCATTTTTTTTCTATGCTATCTTTTATTTTAATTCATTCATTCTTCCTGAACGATCTTAAAAGTAAATTGTTTTACAAGCTGTCAATAATGAGTAATATAAAAAAAAAGTTATGACATTTTTTTTCTAGTATTATTATTTGCTTGCTTCCTCCCTCTTTAACTATCATTTCATAAAACAAATCAACTGTGCAAAATAAAAAGAAACCAGCGACAATTTTTGTATTAACTTTTCTATTATTTTGATCGTGATGTTAACGCTTATATTAATAAGTCTAATCTAACACACATATTATAATCTACTAACTACAAATATTGTATTGATATTGAAGTTGAATTCAACATCATTTAGACCTATATGGCATGAAAATATAAGCAAATAGAAAGATTGGATACGCACTCCATATTACGAGTTTCGATATCCACCTTAACTCTATGTGATTGCATTACGTTCTCTTTTACAGCGCACTCAATTATTAAAACGTCGTATGCGCCGCCTTTAACCGCAACGATGTACTAACGCTGCTCTAAGCCGTTTCTTCAACGTACAAATAGGTGATTCAACCCAAAATGTCGTAAATGCCGTGGTTTCTTTGCAATTCAAATATAAAGTTGTTCGAGCTTTGAGACGTTGAGGAGTTATCTTAGAGCGATGCGTTTATTTTATTTTTTACTTTAACCGCTTTGCGCATGTTAATTGTTATACATGTGTGTATTTTTCTGTGTGGCTGTTTCAATAATTATCTGAGGACTCATTAACGTAGAACAATCAATTCTTATTTCCTAAAGAAAGATCATCAACAATTATTGGTATAAAACAATTTTATACATTGTACAGGCCTAACAATTTTTGTGACACCATTTGCATATTTGTGATATCCTCAAGGTATTTGACTGTTTGGGGCATAATTTATAAATTTATAATATTGAACACAACGGTGTTCATATGTCCTATAATTTTTATATTCTCCTATCATAAAAAATCAACAAGTAGTAATAATCATTGTTGTTCCATCGGATTCTGGAAAAAAAGATGAAGTTCCTCAGGGATCTGTTTTAGATCCGTTTCAGTTCCTGGTATTACTTGACGATTTGCTATAAAATATCCGAAATTAAAACACCACACTATTTAACGAATAATTTCGTACTTTTCATTTAAAATTAAAAACGCACACATTTTGAATACTGTGTCCGTGTACTCTGTGCCAAATGTAATACATACTTGTAAATACGAAAAACAAATTGTTATCCAGTGACGTCGTAGTACACATACACTAATTGATATAATCACAGAAATGTTGAAATAATTTGTACGAAAATCGACAGATAAATGTAACAAATTACTCAATAGGAATCAGTAGTATTGAATTAAAATTTTGAGTCCCATTTATGTTGTAATTATTTTAGCGATAAAGGTGTATTTAAATGAAATTTATGTAATGAAAATCTATTTATGTATTGAACTATTAACTGTGAACGATTTTCTGGCACAGTTTTAAGATCTTACAGTTGTGAAACGTCTTTTTGGTGGCGTGTATGCTAGGGCCAGGTTAGGTTGTCACGGAAATGGAAATAAAATTATTTTGGATATTATAATAATCATTATCATTTATGAAGATATTATGTACATACTTTTTAGTTAAAAACGTTTATTGAACAAGATCATTTTTTATTACTACAAGAAAAAACATATTTGTGTTTGTGTTGCAAAATCAAATATTTTCGTGACACTTTCTTTTTTATAGATGTTTTCAGTTTTCGATTGTTAAATTTAGTTATGTAGTTAGTGTCGCATTGGGATAATTAATTTTATCAACAAAAAATGAGGGAAACATGAGCATGGCCGTCATTTGAATTAAATAACTCATATAACTATAACAGTAATTCACCATTCTAGATATTATATTTTTCAAAAACGGCACTTAAAATTAGTTAAATAAGTACTAATAATCAACGCTCGCGCCAACCTCATCTGTTGTCTATCAGACTCAGTGAAGTGCGCTAGCACAAGGTCGACACGCCCTCTGCCCCGCACTATCCTACCGTTGCTCAGTACAAGTACATTCGTTTCCCAACTTTAAGGTCCTTAAACTGTTTCTGGTGTCAATTTGAACGACTTTCTGGTGTCGATTTGAAAATCTGTAAAGGTTTAAAACATGTTAGGCTGGAGAGCGCAGAATTTATATTTTTATAGTTATATTTCCTTCAACTATATAATATTATATATTATGTTATTAAATTCAGAAAAATAGGCCGAAGATACAATTTGTTTTTGTATTGATGGAATAATGTAGGAAAATATGCCATGAATGAGTGCCAATAGTTTGCAGATTAGTATATTAGTGATTCTAGAGATGTCATTACAAATATTTGTTTTCGCTATTTTGCGGATGCTGTGATGTATTTTCACTTTTTTATTTCAAAAGTGTAAAACTTCAAGTATTTTTGATTACTTTTATTTAAATTGTGCTTTGTTTAGTATTGGCTTTCTGGTGGCTGGCTGGTCTTAATGTGCTGCTTAAAATTGTCTGTTTTCTTTGTTTTAAATATATGTATGTATATATTTTACCTGCTCCTACATGAATTTATATTTTATTATAATACAGATAATCAAATGATATCATTAAATGGGTAATCTAAGTTAGGTTGTGAGGCATTGTATGTTAATCCTCAGGTATCTTTTTAGTGGTTATTATTAAAGGGGAGGAATAAAAATTACATTCAAAAGATATTATGCCATAGATGTGAACATACATATATTATTTTTCCATATAAAAAGCTTGAACCAATTTTATAAAAGTATTTTGATTATATTTATGGCAAGTTAGGATTCCTTTGGTTTTCCTGCACTAAAAATAAGACAAAAAAGTTGTGCAAATAAAAATATTTAGTTGTTTTTTTTTTTTAAATCTTTATTTTAAGAGCTTAATCAAGATGCGATTATGTGGCTGTTCATTATTAAGAACTAAATAACATTCAATCTAACAAGTAACTAATATGAAAAAAAATAAACTATCAAGTGGACTTATCTGAGGAGAATATTATTACTATATTTAGTTGTTGTTGAAATACAATCGGTCGAATACAAGAATATAAATGACGGTGAATCTCCAACAGATCGTTCTCTAAGAAGACGGCGACGGAGCTGACGGACAGCGGCGTGTCGGTGGTGAGCGAGGGCACGGCGAGCGCGGTAAGCGCGGCCAGCGGCGTGGAGCCGCGCATCCTGCTGTGGATCGCCGAGGGCTCGGAGCGCCTCGAGCGCCTGGGGGAGCGCGGGGAGCGCGGGGAGCGCGGGGAGCGCGGCGAGCGGCGTCACCGCGAGCTGTCGTCGCGCGCCTCCAGCGCCGAGCGCGACGAGCCGCGCCGCCGCGACCGCGCGCAGCAGCGACCACGGTAAACACCTCACTGTCACCTAGTTTACTGTTTTGCGCGACTGTCGTGAGCTGACTGCCGTTGCGACGGCACACAGCAGTGGTCACAGTAACTAACTCACTGTCATCTTACTATTTTACGCGACTGTCCTACACTGATTATAACGCCTACGATACCTACCCCATTGACACTTTAAGCACTGTTTTGCGCGAATGTCCTTCATCGACTATAGCGCTCACGGTACTTGCCTCACTGCCACTTTACGCACTGTATTCTGCGACTGTCCTGCACTGACTGTTTGCCGCTGCAGCCGCCCACAGCAGGAACCACGACATGACTTACAGTCACATTATGCACAGTTTTGCATGACTACACTGACAGTAAATGTCTCACTGTCATTATATGAACTGTTTTAGGCAACTGTCCTACACTGACTGTAACGCCCACGGTGTCTGCCTCTATCTCGCACTGTTTTGCGTGACTGTACTTTTGGGTCTTTTGTTAAACTGTTAACAAACGTACGTCCATCCGAATGGTATATGACTACTGTAGTCCATGGACACCTGCAATTCACTTCAAACAAAGGAGTTAGATGGGATGTCTCACAACTTATAATTATAGTACTCTCCCTTCTTCGCTATACCATCCGAACCGGAACACAGCAGTGCGTGCATATGATATTGATGGCAGAAATAGGTAAAAGCGTTGTACCTACTCAAATGAACTCCTAGTTTAAGTCACACCACCTAGCAATAAATATTAATGTACTCCAGAAGGAATTCAAGTCCAGGTCACAGCGGCGAATATCAACGTAAACTAGCTATCTATAGAGAACAAGAATACACTTGTGTGTGTGTGCACTCTCATAGGTCAAATGGAACAGCAGTCCGATTGCATTCGTGATAGTCTTGCTTCATATACTGTTGCTCACTTCGAACACAATTATTTTGTTAATCAAAGTACGTCGCATGTGGACCGTTGTACGCGACTATTCTGCATACACCATAGCACGATTTAAGGACGTTTCAGTTGTATGTCAAGAACCGCATACGGACTGTTGTAAGCGACTATCTCGTATGGCATATTAAAAGCCGGCTATAACCCTTGTGTTATTGGTTTTACAACGGCCGCAACAAAAAAAAAAGCAACACTTCGTTGTCATCGTACATAGTTACCCGACACTATGTACGAGCCCCATAGAAATGGAAATTTGGGCTTAAAACACTCAGAAATAAAAAGGTCTGCGCTTTCAATTGTGGGACGTATATAACCTGTTGCTTTACTTTTTGTTTTAGAGTTTTCTAACGTCAGGTTTTTATTTCAGTGGAGGAGGCGGCAAGTCAGCGGGTGTTGTGGGGGGCGCGGGGGGCGTGGGGGGCGTGGGCGAGCACACGGTGGTGGTGGTGAGCTTCCTGGACGAGAGCGTGCCGTACCGCTTCAAGGTGCCCTCCGTGCCGCTCACACTCAAGACCTTCAAGGAGTATTTGCCCAGAAAAGGAAATTACAGGTACGCTAACAAAGTTACTGCGACTTTTTACCCGACTGCCCCAGGAGGAGGGATATGTTATGCGTCTTGTGGCGGCATAGAAACAGTCTCCCGCTCTATTTCGTCACGAAGGTATCGTAAGAGTTGACTATAGGATAGTTCGGAAGAAATCGCGGCCTCCCATACATGGCGCTACACTAACACGTATGTGAAAAATGTAAATTACCTAGATCTAGAAACGATATACCGCCATATCCAGTCTCATTTAGGATTTGGGTCTCGTGACGTCTCGTGTCTCGAAGTCCCGGGACTTTCGTAATTTTAGTTGTCCCGGGACTTTCGGGTCGAGACTCGAGACGAGACAAGATTGTCGAAAGTGTTATGTAATCATTTTTATTTTCAAATAATTGAAGGAGCCTAGCGCAATGTGTTAGGTTAAATGAATAATTATTTGGTCTACTACGTAATTACTGAGTACGCAACACAATAAATTAAACAAATATGTGATTATGAGAATTAGCAATGAGATTATGAACAATGATTAGATACTAGAATTACTAGATAATAGTAAAGTTATTAAGAATTAGTATGTTTTTTTAACTAAATTCTTTTCATAACTATAATATTTAACTCTTTAGAAGTGCATCTGTGTGTGACTAAAAGAAATAAACAAAAAAATAATTATGACTGAAATTAACGTTAAAGTTATATAATTTTCTGTTTAATTAATGATTTACACATTGAATAAAACGATTTTTTACGGATTTTATCGCGTTTAATTTACTATTTTAATTCCCGACGTTTCGGCTGTACTACCCTATGTCAGAGGAGTCACAGACAAGGTTGGCTACATTTTGAAGCGAGCTTCTATTAAAACATACTTCAAGCCGCCGAAGAAGATTAGTCAATTTTTACCATACGTCAAGATGCAGGAGTGTACAAGCTTTATTGCGAATGTGGTCTCTCTTACATAGGACAAACAAAAAGATCCGTTAGAACACGCGTGAAAGAACATATAGCTGACGTGAAGCACCGACGCTCTAAGAAGTCTGCAGTCTGTGAACATGTTCAAAATCGTCCCCGCCATAACATCAGATTTGATAGACCACAAATCCTCGCAAAAACCACCGATTCCTACGAAGGTTGGTACGCGAGGCTATTGAAATTAAAAAACATACTAATTTCAACAGAGAAGATGGATGGATGCTGCCATCTGCTTGGGATCCTATAATTAACAAAATTAAATCCAAACCCAAGCATACCACTGCAAGACTTCAAGATACTGTAAGTTCATTCTGCGTAAATCGAACCAAAAATTAATATTAAAAAACTGAAGGTAGCCGAGCTAACTGTGACATCAGGACGTCAAACATCTCAGCCCCCCCCCCCCCCGTGACCATGGTTTGCTGTAAAGCACCCGAAACGTCTGGAATTAAAATAGTAAATTAAACGCGATAAAATCTGTAAAAAATAGTTTTATTCAATTTCTGTTTAATTGTTTAATAAATGTCGATTTTTACAAAAAAATTGCCTCTTTTTGATACGTTTCACCAGAAATTAACTCAATTATAATTCTTCAAAAAAGGCATACCCTTCTGAAAAAAGAAAGATTTCTCTTATGTCGCAAAGTCCCGGGAATTCCCGGGGCTTTGAAATTGTCGGGAATTCCCGATCCATAGTCTCATTCTAAACCTTGTGCAGGTATTGGCATTTCGAGAACTTGTCCGTTTCGCCTAATGAAAATAAAAATAAAAATTCATTGTTTGTGAAATAAAAGTTGGAATTGTTTCAAGTTATTCTTGTGAGCTAGTGCATTTGATGAGGTGTTACGAGCAGTAAATATATATAAGCTGTTAAGGATATATAAAGAAATATTTCTTTTCCTTGCATTGACTTTGAGTACTATCACAGGAGGTTTAAATTTTCTTTCAACAACACATCCCATCGACCGGCACCTATATTCTGGTAGACTGTTGATTTATAAAAAGTATGATATCGAAAGAACTACATTATCCTTGTGAAATTGTGAAACCTGTGCCATTCATTAGAGTTTTTAAATGCTGTGTCACAATTTATATAAAATGTCATATTTTATTCCAGATATTTCTTTAAAACGGAATGTGCTGATTTGGACAACACCGTCATACAGGAGGAAGTTAGTAATGACAACGACACGCTGCCCATGTACGAAGGGAAAGTGATGGCCCGGGTAAAGAATATAGAGTGAAAGTCTGTGGATATGCGTAAAGTTTTATTAGCAAGATATATTAACGACAATTCGGTGATGTTCGGCAATCAAAAACGACGTTACACTCGAACCAGTTTTGTTCATCCTTGCAGCGTCCTCGTAGGTGAAAACTGTGTATAACTTTAGGGCGATCCTGTACAGCGTTAGTGTTAATGCGTAGACAATTTAAATAAAGAGTGTCCTATGTGTCATTCTTTATGCAAGGAAAAATCTCTTCTATGGGAGAAGTTCAGTGAATAATGTGCGGTATTCGCATGAATTAATCGCCCTGTCTGTTAAGTAGTAACGTAAGACTGTTTGAATTTGATGTTATAAAAAGGTTTAAGATTGCTAAAAAAATATTACTAATGTTACTAATTCCAGTGATTTTCGGTCTTCGTTCATAAGGGGTTGTTCATATATTTATTTTTTCAGTGTTGTAAGTCTTGCCAATTCCTGCGTTACTATTCTTAAAAAAAAATATTTGTTTGAAGAACATTTTTGTTTTTCCTTACGATATGTTCATTAAAGTTTTGGTTTTATTTGTAGAAATTAATTGGTGGTAATATGACTGACAAGTTGAATACTCATTCAACACAAAATATTCTCTTTCTATTAAGATGTATGTTCAAATTATTGAATCAATTTTGAAGCCACTTGACTTGCTCAGTTTACTGTATACCAGTTGATGTTTATTTAATTTAGAACATTTTGACTATTACAGTGAATTTTAATTTTTTTAATATATGCATGCAGACAGGGCAACACTAGACTTTTGTATATTATTTATTATAAAAATAACTACGATAGCATTAATCGTAATAGATATAAATGACGTATAATGTAATATAAAATCGGTTCCTCGGCGTCTGTTTTGGACTTTTTTATTATTATTTTTATATTCGGAGATAGTTCAGTACGCTTACTGTACGCGATTTTTTTTAAACCGTACGCAATTTTCTTTTTAAATATTCTTAGTGTTATATGAATGACTGCTTAGTTTGTATAGTTTTTTTAAATCTATATCTTAGGTGTTAACAAAGTGTTTTCGTTCGAATTAAACTATTGTCTTCGTTGAGTATAGAAATTTGGATAATATTGAAAAAAAATATTTTAATCAAATTAATAATCTGGTGTGGAAGATGATGCTAAGTCTACATTCATAACATATATTGAAGAAAGAAAGCTATATTTAATATATTATATTTTATGTACCTACTAATAAATCGATAATCTGATAATAAAACTTTAAAAACGAAAACATGTGGTGAAGTGAGTTTGGAATAATATCAAATCTGTATTTATCTTTAATTTTTAATAACATTTTTTTCCTCTGTGGTTCCTGACTCACTCCACTGTAATGTTTCCTGCCTCCTACAGTTTTGTCGTCGGCCACAGATTCATTTATTATCACGTTTTTGAACATTGTCTATGATAAGGCTAAAAATGTCGAATAATTATTGAATCTGTCTTCCATGTCCATGTACTTTTATACAATTTCTTGCCATTTCCTTATCTCTGTTCTTTAGTCTTTGTAAAACTCAAATGTATCTGACGCATCAATATCTTCTACGCCCGATCATTTGATCCGAAATTGTATAAACAAGCCTTCTAATGCATGATGGGATCTCAATCAAATATTACTATCAATATAGTCTAATGAAATATGTATTTATATGTAAGTGGACAGTGAATAGTATAATTTCCGTTCTGCAGCTGTGAATACTTAGTGTTTATAGAGTAAGGTTATATTTACCTTTATAATTCAGTCTGAAAGTACGCCGGCTATTTATACTATGCTGTCTGTTAAAATGGAAGCTATCAAATCACGCTATATAATATAAATATATCATCGAGTACATGATACGACTCGCCACACTATTTCAGCATACAGTATAGTGGAATCAGTTGGTGTGTGTACAAAGAAAAATTAAGTTTGGCCGTCAGACTGAATGTCCCCATACAATCTTCAAACTACATTTACTAGTCCGAATCCACACTGCGCTTGGTTTCAACGAAATTGTTCGTTTATTCTATCGTTTTCTAACCAAATAAGTGTTTCGTTGAAGCCACGCTCAGTGCGATTTGTCCATAATAGTACTTATTATGTGTAACATAAGAGTTAAATTAGCTTGTCGTGTCCGGTCCACAGTGAAAGTGTAAGTAAAGTGTAGGATTTGTTGCCAGAGAGACGAGTGCACCAACGAATGCACAATATTGAGAATAGGGTGCGTAATCATGTGCCTTCAATGTTGATAAATTTTTCATAGTTGATGCTTCTAACTAGATGTAAGTTAACTCCTGTAAATATAGACTTAACGCTACTACGATCCGAGCTCTTTAATATTCTAATTATTTAATTCTTCGTTTTATTTATTGCCTTATTCTATGTCGGGCTCAGACGCGCGTTAAAATACCAATTCGGATCTTCTTGGTTTGCTTATCAGTGCGTTCATATTTTCCTTTTATTATAATTGTTAATAAAATATTTTCAGTTTTAACTCGATTATCTTTTGTTCGATGCATTATATCCATCGTAATCTTGAACCTGACTGACTATTTCCTATCGTACAACGCGCCGTATGAGCCCTAAACATTTGTCCAGTTATAGAACAGTGCAAGTCGACGCCACCGTGCAGTCGCCTCTACATGTATAAATAGATGAACTATATCGTTTTTAAATAATACTATAAGGCACTTTCAGTACATAGTAGCGTCTCAAAGTACCTTATTTCGATAATAAGTCACAAGGTCCTTGAGGGCTCAAAGTAATTCGAAGTTAAAAATTGCTTGTTAAATTGCAAAAAGAAAAAAATAATAAAATAATGATGTTTTACAATTTTAGAGTGTATACGTGGACAAAAGTAATCGATTTGTAATAAATTGTAACTAGTATTACCTTCAGCGATGACTCGAACGGATCAAAATCGCTCACGTCATCGATTTAGGATCGCCTGCATATCGAAAGTCGTGAGATTGAAAGAAATTTCTAAAATATATAATTTAAAAGTTAAATAACTTTATTACTCGTGTAAGTGCTTAATAGCATTCATGCTATTAAGCACTTAAGAATCGATTTTTTTAGGCGCATCGCTCAACTTTCGATACGTTGCGATCTTATAGTAAAAGAGTTTCTCTAATTGGACTGTATTATTTTTTTATCTAGCACATGTAACATTAAAAAAAATAAACTGGAACTGTGCCATATACAATTGTTTCTTATTTACCTTCACATCCTAATCTGTGCAATTACATCTCAATCACCCAAAATATAATTACACCATTGGATAGCTAAAGGATCAAAGGATTCGTTACGTTAAGTGAGGACTGTGTCGCATCGCGCGCGGGGAAGCGCCGCCATTTTGAAGTCGTCTTGCTACGTCACATAATTTCCGTTTAGTATAAATTTTGACGTTACGTACACGAAGACAAGGCCGTGTTCACGTCACAGCCGCATCTCGATTTTTTTTTCAATAATACCTAATCAGTTTCCACTGAACTGTTCAGTTCAGTGCCGAAAAATTATTATGGCGTGTCACGAGTTCGACATACCTGCTTCGGCTGAAGCTTTATACAAACTTAACTCATTACATTTCATTTTCAATGTATCACTTCAAATTAAAGCATATTGGTTACCCCCGTATAGTAGCGGGTAAGAATTACCCAATACTACCCCATATCTTTCCGTGGGTGTCGTAAGAGGTAACAGAGGGAAACTGAGACAGAAGATGGCCAGCAGCATCTTTCTGATAACAGCAAATTACAATAAAAAAACTGCGGTTGCCAATCCGCTCGCCAAGCGTGGCAACTATGACTATACCCCCCATGAACAGCGACAATAATAAACGGCCCCCAGTCCCCGACGACCCCGCAATTCCTGGCTACGGTGGCGACTAGGGTAACGGCGGGGCAGGGGGTGCTAAGAATCTCCGGGGGAGGTTCGGTTGCCACCTAAGACGACTCGACCTGGCAACATACAACGCACGCACCCTGTGGACTGACGAGAAGATCCTGGAGCTGGAAGAAAAGATAGACAAGTTACGCTGGGATATTGATTATCTGAGGACCGAAGACAGGGAGAGGACACGGTAATCCTCGAATCTGGCATCTTGATCTATCACCGGCAGGGCGACCATAAGTCCCAAGGAGGCGTCGGGTTTATCGTCCACAAGTTTCTCGTTAACAACGTAGTAAATATTGTGAGTGTGTAGACGAGGGTTGCGTACCTTATACTCGGAATCATCAAACGGTATTCGTTGAAGGTCATACAGGTTTACGCAACAACCTCGACACATCCCGATGAGGAGATTGAGGAAATGTATGAAAATATCTCTAAAGCCATGCATTCCTCCAAAACCTACTATACGAGGTTAATGGGAGACTTCAACGCAAAACTAGGCACAAGAGAGAACGGCAAGCTGAGGGTAGCGAAATTTGGAATAGGGCAACGGAACTAAAGGGGGCTAGCAGCTGGCCGACTTCATGGAGAGTCCCTATTTCTCCTTTATAATGAACTATTTGTTTCAGAAGGGGCCTCACAGGAACTGGACCTGGTCGAGCCCCGACGGTTCGACAAAAAACGAGATTGACATCATTACGACTACCAGAGGACAACTGTTCTGTGATGTTTCATCAGGTGGACTGTGTGCTCGTTTGTCACCCTATCCTATAAAAAAAGTCTCAGTGATCAAGAGGCTGAAAACTGGTAGCGATCACCGATCGGTTAGAAGCACACTGAACCTGAACGTTATTAAGTTGGAGAGGTCTCGTCTAATGAAGTCAACACTCCGTACCCCTCGAGCTGTAATCCAAAGACCGGAAACCTTTCAGCTCGAGTTACAAAACCAGTTTCAGTGCCTAGAAGATTGCAATTCAGTGGACGATATGAATGACAAGCTCCTGGAAAATGTTCATGCGGTTGGAGCAAAGTTCTGTAAGACCCGCCGCAGAAGAACGCTCCGATCACACTCTTACTCTCATGGTTGTTAAGACGGGAAATG